CTCCTTCCCCTTTCTTCTTTAAAATATTCCCTTGTATCTTGGGAATCCGTGACTGTGTTTGGGCTTCCTGTGCTGGATTAATTCCGTGCCTTTTCTCCTTGGGTTTCCGGCTGGCTGTTGGTTTTTCCGAGCTGGGGGCCTTTCCGTGCATTTTGACGCCTTGGTTCCGTGGCTGCCTCTTCGATTCTTTGACTGGACTATTTTTCCGTGAAAAGCAATGGGGAAATTCGTGACTTATGATGCTTGGGTTCTTGTGGAAATTCAATAAAGTGGTTGTTGGCATTCTCCTTTCTTACCTATAAATATGAGAGGTTTTGTGAAGAAAGAGGAGTTGATTATTGTGAGCAAATTTGCTATTGACCCGCGGGTTATTGGAAAAGCTTGCGAGCTTGTTCCATTCTTCTTCTCCACCTCCTCTGGAAATCTTGCGAGCTCTTTCCACCCTTCGTCTTGGCTTCTAACCTCTTTCGTCTCTCCGCAAGTACCACTCCATATGTATCCTTCTTCTCGAGCTTTGGTAGTGTTTGTTGGTTGACTTTGAAGCATTTGTTGGAAGAATTGGACGATCTTGCAGTGGTGGATCATCGGTTTGCTAGCCCTATGCACTTATCTTATTTAACCTACATTTCGATGCATGTGAGGAACCCGCTCTGAGAGTTGTCTGAGGATAGCGTTATTTTATTTGAAGTATCTTCGTGTTTTCTTTGTCGGATTTTGATTGTTTTAGATAATTGCTATTATTTGAATAGAGTCTGGTTTGATTTTTATTCATTGTTCTCTTTGTTTCAGTTTTCTTACACTTGTGCTTACATCAGTAGATGTATTAGATATGACATATATTAAGAAATGTAGAGGTAGACCTAAAAGGATTTGGTTATAAAGTATTTGAAATGACATTTGCTTATTAGATTTAAATGAGAATTTGATTTTTTAATAGGACAAAATGGAGAAAAAAGATTTATGTAGCTGACCCCACGTAGAGGAATAAAGGCTTAATCTTATTTTTTTGTTTTCCTTGTTGAAAAGGATGAGTAAGATGATATTTAAATCACTTTTTGGCTTTTAGTCAAAACATCAGTGAAATCGTCAATAAAGGACATAAATCATCTGGCACCAAAGGTGAAAAAACGGGAATATGATTTTTTGTCACTCATTGGAAAATTGGTTAGAAACTTAATTTATCAAACAATGAAAAGATGGGTGCCCAAAGGGTTTCTAAGTGAAGATATAATAATAAAGGTTATATGAATTTTCCTTGATTAGTGTTTCCTCAAGATGAAGCTAAAGGTTTTTTTTTCTTTTTTACATAGTTTAAAATTGCGCAATCAGAGGCACGCCTCTGCACAATTCTGGGCAAATTCACCTCATTGCTTAAGCATTTTTTGCTCTTCGTGAGGCGTACGCCTCTTTCATTGTGAGGCGCGGCTCTGAAGCTGAATTGCGCAATTCAGTGTGAGGCGCGCGCCTCTAATAACCGGGACCCGCACACTTATGTATAAATGAAATAAGCTTTCTTCCTCCCCTCTCATATCAGCCTACCCGAAACCGAGCAGACAAAAAAAGCCACAGGCCCACGACCTCTTCCGCACGACGTCCGCTCGGCCTCCCTTCCCGCCGCTTCTACCGCCGACGCCGCCTCACTCCGGCGATCTTGAAGTGTCCGACCGCCCTCTAGGAGAAGTCCACAACCAATTTTAGGTATTTTTTTAGTTCAACGAAAGATTTTTCAAGTGAAAGAAAATCTAGGGTTTTTTATTTTTTGAGATTTTTTTTTTGTTTTCGCATTTGTGCATTAGGAAACATGGTTAGAGGCAAGGAAAAGGTAAATACGTCATTGCGGCGTGGCCCTTCTTGGAAATACAGTGTGCAAGTTGATGTAGGAGACGGTGAGAATACATGTGATGTGAAACATATGCATAGAAACAAGAACTGCATGGGGAATTTTAATATAAGATTATTAAAACTTTGCTAGTTATAGAATTAATGCTTACCCAAGTTAGGTTTTCAGAATTCTCTAGTCGAAATTATGTAAGGCATGCGATTACAACTAGATTAACGGGATAATATCAAATTGACAACATATAAATAGAGAGTAATGTTATGGTGAGAAACAATAATCCATGGTTAACAAATAGAACTCTTCACCTTGGGTCCCTCACTCACGCCCTTGACGGTGGAGCTTTAACGGAGGAAGATTGAGAGCAAACCGAGCGATGCCACTAGGAGACAAATGGCGCCCACAGTGTAGTCCGTTGGAGAAGTAGCCGGAGGCGGTTAATCCACGGGTTGACTAGTGAGCATGATACTTCTGGATAGTGACTGGGGATATTCTGGGCAGCAATGGACCAATTCCAAATGGGCAGGAGAGCAGTTTTCCTGGTTCAAAAGTTCGGGACAGCCACTAGAATCTTTCCTGAATTCTGGAATTAGTTCATGATAGCAGCTGAACTTTTCCTGGACGGCAATGGAGTTGTCTAGGATTTCTGGACAGCATGCATGTTCTGTCCAGGGATTTGGACAGCCCGTAGAAACTTTAGGAATGGGGAAAATCCGTGAGGACGGGGCTTGGAGAAGGCAGTTAAGGCTGCGGGAGATTAGGTGTTTGATTGGAGAATTAATTTAGGGGCAATTAATGGGGTGGGGCTACGAGAAGATTTCAGCCAGGAGAGAGAAGGGAGGAAAGAGTCTAGGTTCAATGTATGTGGGTCTGGAAAGAATTTAATGAGTGATTATCATTAAATCTAAGATTGATTTCAGATTTAATATAATTGGAAGGTTTCCTAATTTGAGTTTACTAGTAGGGAAAGCTTTTGAAATTCAAATATAGATTTGAATTCAAATGTTAATAGTTTCCAAATTAGTAGTGGGATAAATTAGGAAAGTAATGAATGTAGATTTGAATTTTGAAATTCAAAATTCAAACGTAATTGGGTGGAGGGTCCGGCGGCTAGTGGAGGCCGGTGGTGAGTGAACTTAGGGGAGGCTGGTGGTTGGGGAGGTGGTAATGGGCCGGTGGCAAGGATTGGGAGGGAGGAGTTGGCGTCGGGTTGGGTGGGAGAAGGGACTTAGGCTGGCGGGTGGTGCTTGGGAATGTGGAGTTCGAATGGACTTAGAGGTGGTATTTCGGAGGTGGGGTGGTGGTGGAGATGTGGAAGAACGCCGGAAGTTGAAGATGGAGGAATGAAGAAACAAATATGATAAAAGTAAAAATAACAAACTCACAAAGAGATCGTAAGAACCGCGAATCTTGGACTCTTCCAAAGATTGACGGGTATTGCAAATCACCCTCCTCGGGCTTCCCTCGTGAACTCACTAAGAGATCAAGCAAGCACAAGCTTTTTTTTCATTCAATAATTCATCATCTCATACAATGCATAAGACCTCCTATAAATAGGTCGAAGTGAAACAAAAACTAAAAGACATAAATGCCCTCGGGGCTACAATATCAAATGACCACCCATAAGGGTAAAACAGTAAAACTGAAAAATAAAATAAACTACTACATAAAATGACTCAAAATAAAACTCCTGATCGTGGCCGTCGATCTCCGGCGTCTCTGATGGTACATGTGTTGAAATCGCTGACGATGTCCTCATCAACATGTGTATTTAAAATACAATTTTTGTGATAAGATGGTGAAGGGAGGAGTAACTCGCATGATGGAACACTTATCCGGCTCACATAAGAATGTAGCACATTGTGTGAATGTTCCGGATAACGTGAAGGAGGAAATTACAGCTTATATGAAAAAGAGTACGACGGCCAAACATTTACAACATGAGCAATTTGATGAAATGGTCGAACATGGTGCTTACTTTGGGAGCGAGAGTGGAAAGGGCTTTTCCTCCACTATACAAGTATGGAAAAGCAATTTGATGAAAGGTTTTGATAGACTAATATTTTGTGGTTCTGTGCTTTGGGACATGATTTTATTGCATATATTTTCTTACTTTCCACTAATTTCATTTGTCATTTAGATGTTTTTATTGTATGATAGAATCTTATTATTATTTACCTGTTAAAACCCTTAGATTTTTATTTACACAATTTTTCTTTCGTGAGGCTTACGCCTCGCACCGCCTCGAGGCTTACGCCTTGCCTCACGGACGAAATACGCCTCGAGGCTTATTTACACAATTTTAAACCTTGCTTCTGTATGAAGAGGATGGTGTTTGTCCACCTAGTTAAATTTTAATTATATGTGCTTGTAATTTGGGATTGACTTTTTTTTGTTTTTTTTTTTGCTCCTTAGTGGTGAATATTACATTTATCCACCTAGTTTACATTCTTTGCCATTCATACTTCAGTTAAACTTCATATTTTCTTTAATTGTATTTAAATCTAATGGTAGCCAGATAATTTTCGCGTGAGGTGTGTTATATAATTTTATGTGGAATAAGTTCATATTCTACACCTAAACAATTTTAGCTACATTTCCCTTAATCAAAGATAACATTAGTCATATTGATTTATAGCCTAATAATAATTTAATGATTTAATTTGGCCATTTTTTTCGTGCATATTTGACTATTGATCGAAGTGTGATCTATTTGTTTGTATTGTTATGAAGCAATATTACTCACCCAACATGATTGTACAAATATATGGGATTAGATGGAGGTGAAATTCTTTCCAATGGCTAAGTTGTTTATTTGACTCCCTCCTCCCCCTTAGTAGGGGTTTAGAATCCCACTAGTAAGTAGCAAAGGGAGGAAGAAAGATGCCCTGTTCTAGATTCTTAATATATATGGTCATAAAATTGCATATGTTTTGATAACTTTATACCATAGAATAAGTCAAAACATGGACTCGTCTTAATTCTCACACAAATATTTGTGTGTGCATATATACATCCATACATAAAGAGGGGCACAAAAGTGTAGATGCATACATGTGAGTGTGAATCCCTTTCTTTACTAGCATTCTAGTATTAGGAAAAATACTGGTGCTGTTTTTATTAAAGTCATCCATTACTTACTTGATGTTTGCTTCATTTGTAGATCTGAGTCAGTTCATTGGATATGGCTGTTTGATGCCAACAGTTATCATCTTTTTGGAATATGGTGCTGCGGTTGCTGCTTCAACTTATTGCCTCACATTTTTCTTTACTGATCATTCAATTGCTCAGGTAGATAATTTCTAGTATTTCAGTAAAACATTTCTGTAATCTTTTTAATAATTTGAATCTTTCAGCTTTCTTTCTCTTAATTGCAGAATGTAATTTTGCTGGTTCACTTTCTTGGTGGACTCATTCTGATGGTTATTTCCTTTATTATGGGCCTTGTTAATGCAACTAAAGCCGCTAATTCTTTCTTAAAGGTATGTTTTAGAGTTCTTGTAACTCTGGAATTTATCATCGCTCATGAGATTTGTAATTTATGTCTAACTTTTTTCTTCATTCAGTTTTGAGTTAACAAAATTTCTTTAGCTAATTATTTGATATTAATTCTAACCTTGTGACACCCCAATTTTGACCCCCTATAATTAATCTAGAGTGTAACAGAGAAGAAGATTCTGAACAGACATCCTTTTTACTAACACTCATTCTGAACTACCTCTATTCGAACTAGGGAGTAAGAAGTATACTATTCAAAATATCCTAACATATCAAGCTTTTTACTTAGCAACAGGAAGTATGTAATATATCTCAAATAAAATTCACATCTCAATTGAAAGACAGATCTTTACTAAAACTTTTAAAATTTACTTACATACCCAAAAGTATTTGTACAACTCTTACTAAGATCTCTTTGTACACCCAATAGTATATGTACTCAACAAGAATAGTCAACTATCATGCATACTACACTGGCTCCTTCCCCTTACCTATAGTACAAGTATTACTAATGAGCTAGAGCTCATTGAAATACGCAAGCAATATATATGAAATAATAATAACATTTTTTACAATTAGTTTAAAACTCATGTAAGTTCCATACTGGTCATAAGAAATGCATAACATTACTTACTTTCTTGGTTCATGTTTAATATATTTACACAAGTCATATGATGGCTATAGTTTTTTGCATCATTCCAGCTTTCTAATTCAAGAGTGGGTCTGAATTCCTTACTTTTAGAATTGAAGCTACTCTCTTATTCAATGTCGGGTCTGAATTTTCAACTTTAAGAATTTTGAGTGTAGTTTACCTAGTTAGATATTTCACCTTTACTTGTGCGGGTCTATCTCTCATATATGATTTATTTCACTTTTTTTTCATATCATTCACTTTTCACAATCATATAGGATGCTAATGTAATTATTATTACTTAATGAATCAACAATAAACTGGAATAAACTAAAATAAATGCTATCATAACATTATAAATATGAACTTGTAAATATAAAATTGTTGCTATTTCCTATGCATTGTTTGGGCATATCAGAACCAGGGGTAAACAACCTAAAGCATACATTTTTGCTATTTATGATACATTTAAATAAAACAAGACAGTTATATGATAATCTTATAAATTTACCTCAAATGTACTTCTCTTCATTCAACCCAAAAATATTTCCCTAACAGATTTCAACAAATCTTTAGCTGGCAATATAGCAGCCATATAGCAACAACAATCATGATTTAATTTCAGCTTTTCTTCTTCTTTTTCTTATTGATTTCACTTATTTCTGCAAACTACATCAAGCAAACCTTACTTTCGGAACTCCTTAACTTAATTCCAACAACTATGTAATGAATTCCAGCAACTATGTTCAGCAAACATGGCAAGTAAACATTAAGTAAACTACAATAGCAGTCCTTAACTATAGTTTTCATCAACCCTACAGCAGCAACATTACCTATTTTAAGTAAACAACGCCTCATTTCAGCCATTAATTATAGCATCTACCTAATTTACCTTACCTTGATTTTCTGAAAATTTTTCCCCATCAGCTTGTATTAGCAGCACTCTCAGCTCATGCTTTTCTGCTTTCGGCCAGTAGCAACCCCTCCTCCAACTCCCAGCACGGGACCCGCTGCTGGCTCGTTAGAGTGACAGGTGTGAGGAGAAGTGGCTGAAGGATTTTAATTGATTCCCTTGCTTACTAATATAATATACCAGCAAGTCCACTGCTATTCCAATCTTACATTTTAATACTATATTTTTTAATCCACTTAGTGTTGACTGAAAAAAAAAAAAAAAGAACAGACACGCTTGCCTTCAAAGCCGACCCCACCTCACGACGGTTATCGCCAACCGACACAATGTTTCGTTCCCGTAACTATCATTCAGTAAGGCAATAAAATAAAAGGAAGAAATTCAGAAGAGGGACACGCGCTCTCTTCTTCCGCTCCTTCGACCCCAACATCGCTGTTCAACTTTGTTGCTTTGCAGGAGGCGTCTAGGGTTCGTTTCCTTCTTCTCTTTTTCGTCATTGTTGTTCGGCTTTGTTGCTTCGCAGGAGGAAGAGATTGCATGGTCACTCCTTCTGCCCCTTTGTTGCTTCGCAGGCGGAGAGATTGCTCGAGTCGCTTCTTCCTTTCCTTCGTTGTTGACTTTGCTTCACAGGAGGCGGAGAGATTGCTTGAGGCGCTTCTTCCTTTCCTTCGTTGCTGTCCGACTTCTTTTCTTCACAAGAGGTGTAGATATTGCACGAGTCGCCCCTCTGACTCCTTGTTACTGTCCGTGTCGAAGATCTCGTGTAGAACCGATGAAGCCCTAAATGTAATAAGCACTCTCGACTCTCTATAACTAAAAAAAAATAAGTAAAATTGATCGAGGAAGTGCCTCAAATTGTCTCGAGACATTATGCCTCAAGGCGTCACCTCAATGAAGAAAATTGTAGCCTTGGCCAAACCATCGAGGCTTAAGCCTCGAGATGTCCAAGCTGCTCCTCGAATCGAGGCGCGCCTTGAGGCGTACGCTTCAAATGCTTTTTTAAACCATGTTAGCAGTAGATGATTATGCCACTTGTTTTTTTAGCATAAAACTGGTAAGAGTAGCCTAATGTGAGTTGAATGATTGTTAAGCCTGAATTAAGTTGTAGACTTGCTAAATAATCTATTCAAGACTTGACTGAATGTAGCATGTATGTGTTTTTCTTATTTATTCAAAATATTTCATTTGTTTCTTCTATAATTAAGGAAGGTGTATTTTTCCAGAATTTCTTCAGGCTGTCGCCAGCATTTTGCTTTGCAGATGGGCTTGCATCTCTTGCTCTGCGACACCAAGATATGAAACTGGGATCAAAACATCAAATTCTTGACTGGAATATTACCGGTGCTTCTCTCTGTTATTTAGCTGTTGAGGTAACTTTAAATTCATTTCTTTTAGTTTCAATTTGATTAATTGGCATGCTATTTTCTGTTCCATTCTATGTTTAATTAAAGCTGTCTTGTCTAAGTCATCTCTATATTTCTTAATAGAGGCATCATTCCCTCGATAGACTTTATCATGCCGCCATGCTATTGACTTAAAGTTATTTGTTAAGCTTTGGCAAAGATCATTTCTTAAGTTTTTTTATTAAAAAGCTTGCCATCCTTCCACCTTCAATCTACATCTTTGGCCATTTTTCTCTTATTGTTTTGGTTCTGTAACCAAATAGGTGCAGCATCACTTCTTCCTGTAATCAGCTAAGACATTCAATGTTCTGTTGCTTGAAACCTGTTTACACAAGAGAGCAGAATGGAAGAGTTCGCAGGATTTGTTAACGAGTTACTTTGTCTAATATTGATATAGGATTAGCATGGAAACTGAAAATAGAATACTAACAAAAAAAATTTTGATAGTAAGATTCAAGATATTAAGATTTTGACTATGCATGTGGAAGTTAATGTTACGAGGAAAAAAGTAACTAGTGATATTAAGAATGTTGCAAAGGATGTGTCGGCGTGTATATAGTTTATGACATGTTACTAATGTTTCTCAAAATCAATTTGGATTCATGAAAGTGTAGGTCTACTATGGAAGCTATAGATTTATAGAGGTTTGATGGAGAAATATAGAGAGAACAAAGAGGATTTATAAATGATATTTATTGATTTAGAAAAAGTATATGATAAAGTTCCAAGAGAAGTGCTCTAGAGAGTTCTAGAAAAGAAAAGAGTTAATAATGCTTATATTCAAGTCATTAAAAATATATATGTAGGAGTTGTTACTTGTGTTCAAACACAAGATGGTTTGACCAATTATTTTCCTATTTCATTTGGATTACATCAAGGATCAGTTGTAAGCCTATATCTTTTTGCTTTAGTCATGGTGTTCTTATTAGACATTTACAAGAGGATGTTGCCTCATACATGCTTTTTGCTGATGATATTCTTCTTGTTAATAAGACTAGAGAGGGAGTTGAAAGAAAACTTGAATTATGAAGGTCAACCTTAGAACCTAAAGGTTTTTGTTTGAGTAGATCTAAAACTGAATGCATGGGGTGTAATTTTAGGAGGGATTGCCTCTTTGGGCGATCAAGTCATTAACAAGAGTACACATTTTAGATATCTTGGGTCTATTATTTAAAGTGATGGTGAAATTGTTGGGGATATTATTAGTAGAATTCAAGTTGGATTATTAAAGTAGAGAAATGCATAGGCTCTTTTGTGTGATAGAAAAGTAGCCCTCAAACTTAGAGGAAAATTCTATAAGATCGTTGTGAAACCTAAAATGCTTTATGGCGCCGAATGTTGGTCGTTAAAAGAGAAGTACAAAGTTAAGTGTTACAAAGATGAGTATGCTCAGTTGGATGAGTGGCTTCACTCTTAAAGATAGAATGGGAAACGAGTATGTATGTGAAAAGGTTGGAGTGGTTCCAGTTGTAGATAAGATTAGAGAGTGATGTGAAACGTATTAGCATGGATGATTAAATTAAGGAAGTTTGCACGCTTAAATTTTAGAGCACAATAATTATAAGCTTTCTCTTGATGATAAACGACAAAATAAAAATGATAAGGTGATAAAATAGCTTTGGTCTAAACACGTGCGAGAGGTTGAGATCATTAAATAGTCAACTAAGTCTTACTTTGCATACATGAGTGGTTTCAACGAGAAATTCCAATGCTAACAATAAGATTAGTATTATGAAGGGCCTCTCTCACAACTCATTCAAATACTAGGTTTAGCGGAGGCGATAAAACATGCGCTTTGTGAAGGGAATAGTGGGGGGGGGGTAATTAGAAAACTGAAATTAAGTTCAACTTCAAGTGGTTTTGGAGGGAGATTAATTTGAATTTTCAAATTAATTCATTAATGGCTAGGGGTGTTAATTGAGGAGATAATTAGGGGCTGAATTGGTGGAGTTTTGAATTTAAATTGGGAGAGAGAAAGCCCATTAAAGGGGCCGGCCATATGAGGAGGAGGAGAGGCTTGAGAATTAAGAAAGTGGGGCCCAAGGATATTAATTAAATTTGATCAAATCTGATTTTAATTTCAGATTTGAGTAAATTTAAAATAACTTCCTTATTAGGTGTAAAATGAGAGGGAAAATGTTTGAATTTCAAATTTGGCTTAATTCCCTTTAATTGACTTTCCAAAATAGAGAAAGACTAATTAGGAAAGGGATTTAAACTAGGGGAATTTGAAATTCAAAGGAGTTTGGTCAAGGGGAGAGCCGGCGGCAAGGGTGGCTGGTTGGACTCGGCGGGCTGGCAGCTGGCCGTGGGGTTGGAAGGGCCGCCGGTGGCTAGGCTGTCCAAGGGAGGCCGGCGGATGGAACTCCTATGGCAGTGGGAGTTGGGTGGATGGAGAGGCTTAGGTTAGGTAGTGAAAGAAGAAGATGGAAGTGGGGAAAAATTCGGATAGCTACAAACTTTTGGTACCGCTTCCTCAAGAACTCACAAAGAGATCTTGGAACTCACATGAACTCGCAAAGAGATCAACCATAAGAAAATTTCATTCATCAGTTCATCATCCCATACAATGCATGAGGCCTCCTTTAAATAGGCCAAGATAAAAATAAAACTAACATGACACAAATGCCTTCAGGGCTACATAAGTGACTCAATGCCCTCAGGTGCAAACTAGAAAAAAATAAAAATACAAGCATAAATAAAATACAAGTAAATCAGAAATAAAGGCTCTGGATCGTAGCTGTCGATCTGCGTCTCCGGCGATGGTACACATGTCGAAATCTGATGTCCTCATCAGTAATCCTATTCCTATTAAGATGATGTTAAACATTTTAAAATTTATAAAATAAAAAATAAAATTAAAATAATTATAAACAATCCTTAAGAAGCATCCTGCCAAATTGAGAAGTCTCGAACCATGAATATCAGTCCTCAAAAAGCAAAATCTCTACGAAGTGCAATATCGGCTACCCAATTTGCCTGATGAATGTAACTTTGTGGTTCTCAAAAATATATTAATTGATATATGTCCATGTAAGTGCCCTTGCTCATTTTTTTCTCGCTTGTTTACACCGTTTATGTATGTAATTTTCTGTCTTGTATTTTTTCTTTTTAAATATGCAAAGTAATCATCTCCTGCTCATGTTATTACTTCTTCAAGGTTTATCATGTTCTATGTCTGGATTGCAGTTGCATTGTTTCCATGTTGCTTTTGTTAATTCTCTGAGGGTGAATGTGGTGGTGCTTAATTTTCCCAACAAATGGGATATAATTTAAAGAATAGAACGGAAATTACCCAAGTCAAGCTTGAAATTTCTTTCCAAGATAAAATATATGAATATGGTGGATTTTGAGAGGGCAATTCAAGTTGGTTTAATACTTGATATAAATTTCAGATTTTCTTTGTAATTAACATTGTTGACAATGGAACACCTGTTATATTGATCTGCATTCGTCTGATTACTGTGGACGGTTGTGGATACTCTAAATATGTTTGCCTGATTCTCAACGGCTAAAGTTATTATTTTATGGATTCAAAAATGGTTTTAATTTTCGTTAACCACAATTTTGCAGTTAGCAGATTTCCTTGTCACCAGTTTCATTATGTTTACTTCGGAGCCTCACGAAACACTTGTTATTACGTTTATTTTCATTTATAATTATTTAGGTTAAGGTAAATACTGATGATGTTCATGTATTAGTATATTCCAGCAGGTAGTGTTACTTGCATAATATGTAGTTTGGTAGATTTACCAATTTCTGCAAATCTCTTCTGCTTATGTATGATATGCTTTGTTCCTGCTGATTGTTTTACTGGCACAGATTACTATTCGGTGCCTCTCTTGTGATCATTTAGTGATTCCTCTTCTGCTTATATATGATATGCTCTAACCCCGCTGATTGTCTTTTTGATACAGATTATTGTGTACTTTCTTCTTACTATTTCTCTTGAATACATACCTCACTACAAAATTAAGTTCACAGCAAGTAGAGTTTGGTGGTATGTTTTGCACTATGTGAAGTATGACACGTCTCAGAGCTGTTCTGAGCCTCTGTTGGGGTCCTTTGGTGATTCCTTAATCTTTATAACCGATGAGGATGAAGATGTTACAGCTGAAAGGCAGAGAGTTCTCAATGGCGTTGGAGAAGATGCTATAATTTGCTTGCGCAATCTAAGAAAGGTACTTATAAATGTGATTCCGATGATAACTCAAAATTTTTTCAAAAAATCTTATTTGTGAGGCTTGTCATTAATTTTACATTTCAATACAGGAAATCTGAAGTGTTGTGTATTGCTTGAATGTGATGTTTCTTCTAAAGTCTCTATTAAATGCTTTAATGTTGCTGTATGAGTTATCAGGTCTACCCTGCTGGGAAAAAACATGTTGCAAAAGTTGCAGTTCATTCTTTGACATTTGCAGTTCATGAAGGAGAGTGTTTTGGATTTTTAGGAACAAATGGAGCTGGGAAAACTACAACTCTCTCAATGTTAACTGGTAAGTGTACAGGATATCTGTTCTACTGAAGATAGCAATATGGTAGTACTATTTGCTTTTCTGAATAATAAAAGTTCTATCTTATTCCTTCCTTTGTAGACTAGTTGTGAACTTATAGAAGATTTACTGATCTTCAATCCTCTTTAATTATTATTGAAATGTAATTTGTATTCAGATTTTTCAGTCAAAGTTGTCTAAAATAGTAGCATCGTTCGAACATTCTTCTTTAAGCTAATATGATTGATATGTTTTAGGTAATATCTTGTATGCATTAGAATTTCATCTAATAATTAAGTTGTTAAAGTAAGATTTCTATTCGTTTACTAATTTTTTTGCTTTTCATTCAGTTTCAATAACCGCTGGCACTGTTTTATGTATAGTTTTATATTAAGAATTTTATCAGTACACTATAATGTATTATTATCGCATTTGCACATGCTAGAAACAATAAGCCAACCGTCTGAGAGTGAGAAAGTATTTTAATTTTTTATTTAACAGCTGATAATACCATGTCCTCATGCTTACAATTCTGGGACGATGCAAAAAAATTGACCTGTTGGGAACTATGTTTAGTTTGACATGAATGATTATTGGTAATGTTGCTATCATTCCGTGGTGTTATGACTAGGAGTTGCTAGGTGAAGGATCATCTTTGTAAATGCAAATAAACAAGTAATAGGTAGTGATGTCTAACGGGTAGGAGGCTCTGCTAGGGAAATGATCTCCTCTCAAAAAAAATCTGATAGCAAGCCTAGGTGAGGCCCAAACTTCCTCTCCTATATTCTTAAAACAATTTCAGAATTTTCAACAAAGCATTCTGAGAGGAGTTCTCAGGTGTGAGAGGGAAAGAGAATGGCAAAATAGCTTCAGGTCTTTTTTTTTTTTTTAAATCAAAACCTGAGAGAAAATTCAGGTTTCAAGGTCTTCGGAGAAAGGTGTTGGAGGTGGGAACATAAGGCTTCACATTCAGGTGAAGAACTATTGGCTAAGAAACGTGGCGAGCTTTCTCTAAAGAGGCTTAGTAATAAATTAGGAAATAAATCCTAATTATCATTACAGGGGCCGGTGGTTTTCCAAAGCCAGCAAGGAGGTTTAATTAATTCCTAATTCCTTTAATTGGATTAGGGAGCAATTTAAGGATTAAATTTAAGAGGAATTCGGTCAGTTGAGGTTTCAAATTGTTTCCAAAGAGGTGGAGAGTGATTTAGGAAACAATTTGATTAATCCAGGAATTGATTTCAGACCTCACGGGATTGAGAGGGAAGTGGGGAATTTAATTTCCAAAGTCCAACCAGATTTTAGGGAAGAAATTAAGAGGTGGGGCTTGAGGAAAATTCGGCCAAGCAAGAGGATATTAAGGCTCATTGATTTGCATTTAGGAATTAATGAGGTGATTTAATGTTCTCGGATTTTGAATTTAAAATTCAAATAAATTTTGTGAATTTAAAATTCAAAATAGATCTAAGTCAAATACTTTCCTAAAATAGATTCGCTAATTTTAGGAAAGATTTCGAAATTCAAAATGTTTTGAATTTTAAATGAGGGATTTGTGGAGGCATGAATTCAAAAAGTTTCCTAAAATAGGGTTAGGGAATTTAGGAAGGTCTATTTGAATTTCAAATCAATTGAGTTTGAATTTCAAACTATTTCCAAATTCATTCAAGCCTAAATTAGGAAACTTCAATGGGATGATGAAGGGAGGTGGCCGGCTGGT